GACCTCGGAACTTAGTCTTTTTTCAACAAAAAAATATATGTAGATATGTAAACAAGGAATTATAAATCTGTCACATAACATACATGCTGATACAATAAACATTTATTACGTTATGTATCAGTATTAATCAATTTTACAAATATTCTATATAGCTGGAAAGTATCACATTAGTTTTGTTAACCTAATTTCTTCGGAAGCTGCCTCTTCATAGTCAGGAATGAAATATGATAGTTTTTCATTCGGTCCATTGGTTGAATGAGCATAACGTTTTATTTTGTCAGGTTTTATGGACGTCCTCCTTTGTTTAATTTAACTTGGAGTTCAGTATTTCTGTTAATACCTTTTTACACAGCTAAATACTAGTACGTCACAAACAAAGAGAGGCGAAAGATATCAAAGGGACATTCAAACTCATAAGTCGAAAATAAAGTGACAACGCCATGGTTAAAAAAGAAAAAAAAGACCAACAGACAAACAATAGTACACAAAACACAACATATAAAACTAAAGACTGAGCAACACGAACCCCACCAAAAACTGGGGGTGATCTCAGGTGCTCCTGAAAGGTAAACAGATCCTGCTCCACATGTTGCAACCGTCGTGTTGCTCATGTTAGTACAAACCCGTTAATAAGTCTAATTCGGTAGGTCATATTCTGGAAAGAGGACGGGATTGTAGTCACGACATTAGGAACATATCCGCTATCATCTGTGAAACGGATATTCCGTAACGGTCAACCAACTCGTAATGGCGTCCATAAAATTTACGAAGGGATGATTTCAACTTCACCACTTGAAACTCTTGGTTTAATAGCTTCCACGTTAATTGTAACATGTTTATTGTTTTTATGAATAATTATGTATCCTTATTATCTTTTAATTTGTGTTGCCAATATTTAACCGATCGCGTAGAATAATCACATATTTTTAATTCTTAAAATTATATAAGAAAATTCATTGCGCAATTTGATCAGAGAACTTTGTTCAGATTAGATTAAAATTAAATACTTGATGTAAAAGATAGCTTAAAGAGTCAAACGTTCGACTTATATGGACATTGATTTGTAGATGCCTTTTAATATTTAATTTCAATTAAACAATTTTTTGTTAGCATGTAAGACATGTAGCTGATCTAGTAGCACTTCGCCTAAAAGGGAATAAGGAGGGGTTGTTTTTGCTCTCAATTATTTCAATTGTAATTTTAGGAAAGCCACACTTGATTTTTATTATTTATTTTTTTGCGCCAGATCAGAAATTTAATTGTCAAACTCTTAAGACACCGCATGCCCATTGTCAAAACTATTGTGCATCATCCAGGTTGGTAAAAAGTAGAAAACAGAGGACCACTCACTGATAAATGGATCTGTGATCAATAATTTCTTGTAGTAAGGAAAAGATATGACCAACAGATGGCAAAAATAGATTAATTCTTAAATATTTTAGCTTAATACAATGTATAACATAAATGATTGAATGCTAAATTGTCAAAAACATGTCAATATTGACCGGTTGCTTAAAATAGACATTTTACACAGTCATCTTGCCTACTCGAGATTTAGTCATCCATCTATTGGCTTTTCTGGATTTGGGCGTTCCTGTTGCAAGTCGGCCCAAAGGTGCGATTTCTTTTTGTTTGCGTCTTTGTCAAATATGCTATCAACTACAAAAACACTTTTGTTGGTAACTTTGTTAGATTTATTTGTACGTTTGTTTAAATATTTCAGTCGGCTGTGTTACATGTATGTGATGTATGTTTACACAATAATGACTGCTGGATCCTAATTATTGTCAGATTAAGCTATTATGCCAGTTTGGACTGTCTACTCAATTTGGTCTATATAGTGGAACTATTAACAGCTGTCATACAAGTGGAAGATTAGCTAGCTATAAAACCAGGTTCAACCCACCGTTTTCTTAGAAAAATGCCTATACCAAATCAGGAATATGACAGTTGTTTTTTATGTTTTAATGGACTTCCCCCCTTTTTAAATTTACCTTGGAGTTCGATATTTTTGTTATACTTTTTTATTGTTAATATTAGATCGGTGTATAGTTCTGAATCTAAAATTTTCATTTCCGATCCTACCTCCATAATACTTAGTATTCAATCATTCTTCTCTTCTTTAATTTGTTTTCTAGACTCTTGTATATATATTTATATAAGAAGCATTTTCATGCCCCACCTAGGGGCATTATGTTTTTCGGTCTGTGCGTCCGTTCGTCCGTCTGTCCCGCTTCAGGTTAAAGTTTTTGGTCAAGGTAGTTTTTGTTTTGATGAAGTTGAAGTCCAATCAACTTAGAACTTAGTACACATGTTCCCTATGATATGATCTTTCTAATGTGAATGCCAAATTAGAGTTTTGAACCAATTTCACGGTCCACTGAACATAGAAAATGATAGTGCGAGTGGGGCATCCGTGTACTATGGACACATTCTTGTTTTCCTTTTATATTTGTGTTTTAAGTCTTTCACATTGATGTTGGTCTCTGCTTATTGTCTCGTTTTGTCAGTTTTCGTTTCTTGCAATGGTTTGACCTTTCACTCTAATCCCTCTTCGAAGTCTACCCAAGAGTATGCTTTATTTCTAAGCTTATTAATATATTCCCGATTAAGTCACAGGTCCCACCTGAGTGCATTTGAAATCGATAATTACCAAGTTGTATTTGAAGTGAGTAAATAGACAACTAAGATCTGAAGTAACAGTTTTGCTAAATTGTCCATCCTCTGTCGTCAGAATAAGACACGTATCATTGCGATGTTTATTTTCTTGTACGCTTTTCTGCATTAAGACGCAAATACCACTAAAATAGAAGAGATGAATGCAACATGAGAGTCGAATTGAAGACTGGTATATTAATTAAATATAAAGAGGATACAAAAAGAGAATAATTAAATGTATTATTTTGATATAAAAGAGAACAGACTGATGATTAATAGAACATAAGTTAACATAAGCAAGTCGTAAGACCATCCCGATTAAGACTATATTAGGACAGATTTTTTTATAGTATAAGATGTAACCTGGGATGGTTTTTAAAAGATAGTCCTAAAGTATGTGATTAAATATATCTTAAGATCTGTCAAATGATGTTTTCGAAAACTAGGCTCCGGACTGTTTATCTAAAATAAAGTAAAGAGGTTAACTCGTAACTAGCCCCCTGCCTGTCGATACATTTATTTTTGGCATTGCACAAGTCATGACTTCTTTGACGGTCCATGACGTTAAAATACTAAATCCCTGGGATATGTTTTAGTTGATTTTAGTCTCTGATGCATGATTTTTTATTATTAATTGTTTTTGGCTTTTAACTAGCTGTCAGTAACTGCGAGTACTCTCAAATCGTACTTTCTTGTTTATTTGACCTGTTGATACTAATTGTAATGCTTTTTTGTTATTTAATGTTATTCCGGGTTATATCTGGTCTATATATCAGCTTTGATAAGTGTTTGGTATTACTATAAATTTTCACTTCTTCGTACTATGAACATCAATATTATTTATTTTGTAAAACTATTTCCTTCCTCCATTTGAACTGTACACGTTTCCCTAACAACAAAAATATTTTCATTTACTTGTGTTTAAAGTAATTGCAAATGGCTGATATTTTTGTTCAAGCATATTGTTTTTCTTAAATGGTTTAACATTTCACAGCGGTATAACATGTTACTTTAATTATTCTTTCCTTAATTTATTTATTTTGTATTTACATTGTATCATAGATCAAATTTATTTGTTCAGTGTATGTTCACTGGTGTTAATATGTCTTTTGATTGAGTTAAGCCATTTCAATTGATATTTTATAGTGTGTCTTTCTATGTTGTGATGTTACACTATTGTTTCAGATAAGGGTAAATGTTTGGTACCATTAAAACGTTTAAACCCGCTGCAATTGTTTGCACCTGTCCTAAGTCAGGAATCTGATGTTCAGTAGTTGTCGTTTGTTGATTTGGTTCATAAGTGTTTCTCGTTTCTCGTTTTTTTATATATATGACCGTTGGTTTTCCCGTTTGAATATTTTTACACTAGTAACTTTTGGAACCCTTTATAGCTTGCTTTTCGGTGTGAGCCAAGGCTCCGTGTTGAAGACCGTACTTTGACCTATACTGGTTTACTTTTATAAATTTTGACTTGGATGGAGAGTTGTCTCATTGGCACTCATACCACATCTTCTTATATTTATTGGTCTGTATTTTGGCCTAGAGGCCTGGAAGTTAACGCCAAATATTTGAAACAGTAGATGTGGAGATGTGTGATATATTATTTAGAGTTTTAACCCTCAAAATATCCTTATATACGTGCCGAAACAGAAACATTTACTAGACATTCAGCATAAATACCCAAAGACGTCGTCAGAGATATGTTTACATGATAGATAGAAAATGTATTTAATATTTTTGGTCTAAGGCTGGTATAATCATACATGAATTAAATGTAAAATTAAACACTTACGAATTGTTAATTGTTTCAGATAGTTTCCTTAATCTACTCTGGATTTAATTTATGCTAAATCGTCGTATATAAGTATTTGTGAAGAAATAAACCCTTTTTTGAAAAGTTTGCGTAGGAACTGAAAGTTATTTGTTCGGCATTAATTGATATGTAGATTCAGAGAAAGGGATTAAAATACAAAGTGAACATTATTCAGATCCAATCGCTGCTCTACAGATATTTACAATTATGTAATAAATAGTGTAAATGATATTCAACTGAAAACTGTAATACGCCGCATGCTATCCGTATAAGGGGCATATGTCCTAAAGAAAGAACAAAGTACATGTAAAACATTTGTTATCCAATCTGCAATAAAATTGAATATTTTTGTCACGTGCTACATGTGGTAGGTATCTATTGTCATACAATTCTTTTTTTCAATTTATGTTCTGTATCATATTCAAATGTTAATAGTATAAGATGTGATTTTTTACGTCATATTCACACGGGGGAGCAGGTGCGTGAACTTTGATGTCATCGCAAGAAAAAACATTTTCAGGATACACTTTTATTGAAAAAGTCTTGTTACAATAAAAGGTGGAGAGGGAAGGTAGTTTGATGCCCCATAGATAGCACATTGCTTAAAATCACACGGACTTTCACTCCATTCATATCGCAAACCACCAATAGAATGATGACTCAGGCTGCATTTTGATGTATCCAAAGTTATACTTGATGTATCATGACTCTTAATTGGTGCATTGATCCAACCATTATCCTCTGCATACGCATGACAAACTTTATGTCTTGTTGTACAGCATATCTGAAATAAAAAAATTAAACGATAAAGTAATACGATATATATATAATTATCATAAATATAAGACATTGTGGTTACATTAATGTTGATTTCACGACTAATAATTCATATCAATTTTATTAATTGGCAGCATATTCAAGTTGCCTTTTGTACTGTCTTGAATCTTGCTGTTTTAATCAGATTATAGAACCACACAAAGTATTTAACAATAGACAAAAACCAACATTAAAATTGCCAGAGGGTAAAAAGGTAAAGATTGAATCTAAACTGTCAAATATCTGCCATTAACTCCTAAGGACAAAGCCACTGATATAGCTTATAATTCGGTATGGGTTTTGATTACTGTTAAAGGACGTACGTTGACCTATAGTTTCTTACATCTTAGTCATGTGGTCTCTAGAAGATAGTTGTGTCATAGGCAATCAAACCACATCTTCTTATTTTTATAAAGATTGTTATATGTAAATAAAGGCAACCGATGACAAGGTTTATGAATTTTGAAGAGCAAAAACACAGATATATATACTAACGTTTCGGAAATGTTATCTATTACTGACATCAAGCTTCAAGTTTTCAATCTTCTGATAAAGAAATCAGTCTTCTTACACTCAACGACCGAGTATTGTATATAGCAATCAGTGAACAGTACAGAAAACACGATCTTGTACAACCCATAAGGAAATGTCAACATCGAAAATAAAATAAATCAAAATCTTATTTATGTTTCGACCTGTAAATAGATCATCATAATTCAAGACGCAATGACTAACCAATGAGTATTAGAAGTTAACAAGACATGTGAAGTCCTCTTAAAGTTCTTGTCTATCTTATAAATGATATTATTTATTATTATCAAAAGCTTCATTTAAAATACGTACACTCCCGTCAGTGGTATAATTTAATTTAGATTAATCCATATATCTAGTATAAACTTTTGTTAGTTTTGAACAATTTATAACATGCTCATCTCTGTTGAAAATGTTATCTCTTTCTAGAAACTTCAAACTCTATCATATATAGCCAACTACATGAGACTTGTATATTTTAGTGAGATGTAGTATACTATATAATACCTTCAAAGAATAGCAAAATGACAGTTAAACTGGACATATCTTCATGTTTCTCATAAATGTTGATATAAAGATTACCATGACAATTGCCAGTAATAATAGTAGATAACATTAAAGTTGGATTTTGTAATAGTTAATTTGAGGATGTCCCCCCTCTGTTCAAAAAACAAGATTTTAAAAAGACTGCTATAAATTGATAGTATATAAATAAAGGAACTTGAAAAGTAGAAAAAATGACAGATGCGTGTCCTTGTTTTTTTTTTTTTTACATAAAATCAATTGTAAATTCGGCGGGAAATTATTCTCTCTAGATTTTTTATACATTTAACATTACCAACTATTTACTTTCAATAAATATGAAAAAATAACAAGGATTTTATAAGAATTTCAAAAATGATTTACAAACTATCAAAATGAAATTATGAAAAGAAAAGTAGTAGTTAGCGGGCAAAATTAATATTGGCACTACATTGATAAAACTAGATGATTCCGAATATCTGACAAAAAGTCAAAAACAAGAGTAACGAACATCCTTTAGTGGACATTTTTCATTTGTGTATTTAGAAAAATATGAATAATTTCGAGATTATTGATAATCTGAGTATTTGCAAGTGTTGTTGAACTTTTTTATCAGATGATGTTTCCGGTTGAGTGTTTATGAAGTTAACCTATAAAATTAGTTTCCTAGCAGTTAACCTAAACATTTTAATAACTCACTTGAAATCCTGTTGAGCTCCTTACATCAATGGGTGATCTTCCATTGTCGTATTCTATAATAAGAGTATTGCTATGACGATGCAAGGTATATGATGAGGGATACGGCCCCTGATAATCAATTCCACTTCTTTTATAAGCAACCGCTAAAGCTCCTAAAACTAAACGAGCTGCTACATCATGCTTCAGACGAGGGTGAATGCTGTGAAAATTAAAGTTATATAAATCATTCAAAGCATCAAGAGAGACTTGATGGTGTGAACATATAAATAAGTGCATAGATATTGTTCCTAGTGCATACTTATCATCATGGTCATAGTTCAGTTTATCAAATATCAACGCCTGTTTCTGTATTGACCATGGTATAGAATCGAGGTTAGCTCTGCACAGAAAGGCCATGGGCAAACACAGTTAATCGGGAATCAATACAAGGTATTTGATAGAAAAGTTACATGCCAATTCACAACAATGGTCATTCTCGTTTCCATAAAATGTGTGGGTCTTATATTCCACTAACTTCTAATCACGTCATTACTCCTTTAAAATGACACATAATTATTTGACCTACTTTCATAAATCAATGATCTTTTTATTCAGTAAAAGAGAATTTATACCGACACGTCTATAAAGAACGACAAATGATAACCGTCAACTATATGATATGTGTAGATGTTTTCAAAAATGGACATTTATAATGTTCTGATCTCACTGTTTGATACCACTGCTGGTAGCCGTTTCGTTCCTGAGGATAACACCAACCCAGTAGTCTGCAATTTTGTAGTGACATGAAATATCGTTGATAATTATGTTCATTTTTGTAAATACTGTTTATATAATTTTTTAATATTAAAAATACTAAGGTTTATTTAACCCCAGGTATAGATTAACTGAGCGGTATTTGGCAAAACTTTTGGAATATTTGGTTACTAATGCTCTTCAAATTGGTATTTAATTTGGCTTTCCAACTGTTTTGATTCAAGCGTCACTGATAAGTCTGATGTAGACGAAACGCGCGCCTAGCGTACAACATAATAAGCAACGCGTGCCTAGCGTACAACATACATGTAATAAGCCTGGTATCTTAATTTGTTTTTTAAAACCACTTGGTCGATGCTTCTGTGTGAATAATCGTTAACATAAACAACATATATTACAAAATATAAAACATGGATAGGCAGCAGAGAACAATAGTAAATACTATAACAAATGTAAACTTATAGAACTATATGAGATCTAATATTCTATGCAGTTATAAAAAAAATACAACGAAAGGCTTACTTAAACAATTGAAATAATTACAAATTTTTATGATTATCAGGCCAAAAAAAGAAAATCCACTACGTATATTTGTTAATAGTCAAACTGTATTTTCATAATCAAGATATGTTGTAATACAAATTGAAAATTTCAATCTACAATAAAAACAAAGTTTATAACATTCTTGAACAGTTCTGCAAGTGTTTATCTTCAATGCGAGTTTTAATAGCACCAAGGGCGTACTTTGGCCTATAATTGTTTACTTTTTACACATTGTGACTTGGATGGATAGTTGTCTCATTGGCACTCATACCATATCTTCTTATTTATATCTGTTGATATTGTGCAAGTATCTTGATATAACAAACATAATGTAATCCAAGGTCATAAAAAAGATTACGTATGTTTGAAGCCCTGTTTACATAATCATTGTTAATATCGTCATTCAAGAGTTTATAAACATCAAATACATCCTTTGGTTTAATTATAATAATACGTCGATGTCACTGATGGTGGACATTTCGTCCCCGAGGGTACCACCAGCCCAGTAGTCAGCACTTTAGTACTAACATGAAATATCATTGATATGTTCATTTCTGCAAATTTTCTGTTTTTAAAATATCTAAATATTCGAAACACTAACGTTTTTCTACCTCAGGTATATATAACTTGCCTTTGCCGTATTATGCACACCTTTTCAAAATTTTCGGTTATTAATGTTCTTCAACTTTGTATTTGTTTGGCTTCTAACTGTATTGATTATAGCGTCACTGATAAATCTTATGTAGACGAAACACGCATCTTGCGTACCAAAGTACAAGCTTGGTATCTTTAATGAGTTTTTACTACATATAGTATAAATAAAGGCAACAGTAGTTTACTGCTGTTTAAAATTCATAAACCGATTAAGAGAAAACTAATCCGGGTTACAAACTAAAACCGAGAGAAACACATCTACTATTAGAGGAAAACAACGGAACAACAGAAACACTGAACTGCAACAAAAACAAACGCCAGCATACATAGAAACGGACTATTTGATAACACCTGCCACATTCCTGACTTGGTACAGGACATTTAAAGAAAAATGGTGGGTTGAACCTGGTTTAATGGCTAGCCAAACCTCCCGCTTATATGGCAAAGTCAAAAAATATCGCTAAAATGACAACACTACGTGACAGGAACACAGTATAAACAAAAGCAGGAACACTCAGCTCAGAGAAATGCATAAATAAATAAATATAATAGTACATTACAACATGTGAACCGCATATGTTTCTCGAAAAGACTACTTGGTAAACGAATTATTCATAGGTAATTATCTAAAAATCAATCCACTCGTATGGCTGGCATATGTATGGTATATGATAAGTACCAAATTGATACCAATTTGAAAATAAATCGTACGGTGGTAGGTTAAATAGAATACCACAGTTAACATGTCAGGATAGGGTTTGGAAAATGGAGTCCTGTGATGTTATTTTATTTTGAAACAGGAATATACTGAATGGATAAGAATACATACGTCCCACGTGGTGATGCATAATCTGGAAGGTCTAATGCAACAGCCATAAAGACATTTTTTAATCGATTGTTTGGAACTTTCCCATGATTGGCTGTCTGTGCCCAGCGGACTTGTGGAAAGGTACCTACTTCAGACGTTTTTCTATTCGGTGCTAACTGGAAAAAGAAGGGAAAAAAATAATCTCGAAGAGATAACAGTCATATATTTCTAACGCTTACTAGAACATCATATTTCAAAATTGAGACTCATTGATATGTGATTTTTAGTTTTTATTAGAAAAGGATTTTCACTTCCTCTTGAATTATAGATGTTTATAAAGCTTGTCCGCTTGCCCTCTCTTTATAGCTATCAGGGCAATGACTAAATGTATACTCTTTTATTGTAAGTAATCAATTATTCACATGATAACCATTCTCTGAAAAGTATTAAATGACAATACAATGTCACTACACTTCGTCTTAACAAGGCGTCAATAAAAACGGTAAATTCCAGAAAATACCTTACTTTATCTGAAAGTTGCCAGTCCAACACACAATTGATTATTCAATTGCATAACAAATGCAGATGGCTTCAAGTACCTAAAGATAAGACTTTTGAAGCTTACTCACTTGCATATTGTTGCAATGGAGAAACATCATTACCTAAATAGCTGATTAAAGTGTTAAGGTTATTTTCCCATTTTTTGTGTCTGAAACACGATTTGGTTTAACACAATTTAGTGTCTGTTAATTATATACACTAATTTGTCGACGATTTGTCTTGTCAACCCCAAATCCCCTCTCTCTGTGTTAGAAATTGCATATCAGTAGCTAAATTGATTCTAGAATTTGACGTATAAGAATTACCATTACATATTGTACGATTTGATTTTATATTGGTCTATGTATAAAAAAAAATTCTTGCGCAGATGAAATTTCATAAAGGCAACAGTAGCATACCGCTGTTCGAAACTCATAAATCGATAGAGATAAAAACAAATCCAGGTTACAAACTAAATCTGAGGGAAACGCATCAAATATAAGAGGAGAACAACGACACAACAAAAATACAACATTGAAATGTAACATATTCTATCACCAAAACTTCTGAGTTTGATGTAATAATCTTAGTTACAGCTAAAAAAATGTTTGACAAAAGCAATGACTCAGAAGTTCAGGTAATAATCATTAAAAAATGAAAACAACACGTTTAAATTTCAAGCGTTCGAAGCGCTTCTCTGGATTTACCTTCATAAGGAACACTCACAGCCGAATATTTGAAAACCGAGGATGTATAAGAACAGAAACAGTTGAAGAGCTATATGACCAAACAGGACCTAAAAAAATAGCCAAATCCATCCAAGGTCAAATTTGCCTGAGGGAGTTGAAAGGTGTTCTGGCGGATTTGTTACCTTTGAAAAATAAATTGGCGCAAATGAAACACCTTGAAACTAGATAGCAATTTGCACATATTTTTAGGGATTATGTTAAATCACTGGTATAATTAGGGATTATATATAATCACTGAAATGAGGGAAATAAATCCTTAATTATAAAACTCATTTCCTAATTTTGTTCACTGCACATTAATTGAAAACAACATGATCCGTATTTTCATTCCAGTACTTTGGATCTGATCTACAGGGTATGTGAATTTTCTAACCTGGACAAATCCAAATGGAAACATGGCATCTACGGTCTGCAGAGAAGCAGAATGGAACTTGGAGCGCCAGTCGTCTATCATTGCTGGAAATCTACATGAGTAATCAAACGCGTTTCCATAGTTAGCTTCTCCTGCAATTATTACATGTATTAAGTGATTATAAACTTATATATACGGAGCATTGCATACATTTGTGTTACTAAAACATGAAAATCTCAGGAACAATAGGGAAACGTCCAAATATTAACGATATATATGAATAAACGGAGATGTGAGGTATAGAGACAGAAAAACATTAACAGATATCTAGAGCGTTAAATTAACTTTATAATTTGTGTTTTTTATCTACAGTGATATAATACAGTATGGCCTTCAGTAATAAACAAGGTAACAAAAGAGACATGGACAATGGATCTGTATTTAAATCGGATTTGGATGTTCACGCAAAATAATTATGTTCAATTGCTGATTTTTTCCAAACTTTCATCATCTACAGCAATTGATCTACCATGTTTTAGAACAGTTTGTAATGTGTAAAACTTTTGGAAAATTTTTAAGTCCTCGAAAAGCTATGATGTGTTTGCTTCGACACCTCCATGCGGCAATGAAGGATCTTTAAAAAGTCAACAATGAAAAATAGTCCTATCAAGCTTTATGATTATCTGGACTACTTCAAAGCCGATTTGTTAACAATTGAGAATTATCCTTCTCTGTTTTTAACGTTTCGTTGATGCGAAAATACTTTAAAATCTCAAGTTATGCTTTCAGAAAATATCTTGTTACATATGTTAAATAGTGCCGCATATTGCGTTTTTACCTACAAGGTTATTGTGAAAAATATTTGGAACTTTTTATTTTTTTAACGATACATCTGTACCCACAACTCATTTTTGCAGGAACATAAACAAGCGATCGATTTAATTGCATGCAATGAGTTATAGGAGGTCTGTTTGTAAAGCTTTTATATTAAAATCATTAGACATAAGTTCTCAATTTTGTTTAATGTTTAGAACTTTCGCAAAGCAAATTGGTCTTAAAAACTAATGCAGATGAAAGAAAATACCAAACCGAACATAAACAATGTGCAGGTTTTTTACTTACTTGTTTCAGTTTTTTAAATAACAACATACAATTTAATTTTTATACCTTGATACCAAAGTGCTCCATATATTGTAGATTTTAAGAACGGGTGGATCATCGCATTCCATAACACGGTATTAGAGCGTGAAGTTACCGGTGATCTAGAAAACAATTGTGTATTGAAATCAAATATTTGTAAATAAAAAAAAATAAAATAAAACTCCTTATATTATTTCTAAATTTTGATAGTTTTCAAATTTTCTTATTTTTATTCTGAAAAGGATATTAAACGGGTGACCATTAAATACTAATCAGTTCAAAGGTTGGATATATCCATAATTGTTACCTCCTTGAATTAGTACTAACAATATCTGATATTTTGAAATATTTTCTGCTTTGTGTTCGTTTCCGCGCTTCAAAGTTAACTGGTTTTTGTATCTGGAAACTGCCTTTATATAAATAACGTTGATTTTGAAGTCAGTTTATATTTGATATTTCACAGGATTTTCAAAATTTCAATTTTTAAGGACACACAGGCAACATAAGTATAAAACAAAGTATAACGTAATGCAATATACACAAGCAATATTATCTATAATAAATAGTATACATAGCATTTTTACAGTACACTCAATAATCTAGACGTTTACAAAAATGATTTAACAATGTAAAAAAGTATAATGGTTCTTACGGACTTATGTGTTGTTGTGTTGAATTGCATTTCTGAAGAGCATCTGGTGATGACCATGCTTCTATCGGAGTACCTCCCCAATCTGAATCGATCAATCCAATAGGATAACTTACATGAGATGATAAATATTTTCCAAATAGCCAACAAACAGCTGAGAAATATTTGACAGTATCTGAAATAAAAAAACACTTTCAGAAATTTGTAGGACTTTTCATAAAGTATTGGACAATAATGAAATGAGGCCGTAATGTTAAGTCAGGCAACACTAGAAATAAGACAAAAATGGAAGTAAAACAAAAATGAATGTAAGACAACAATGGAAGTAAGACAACAATGGAAGGGAAACAACAATGGAATGGAGACATATAAAGAAATGAAAAAATAATTTCAGAAAACAATATATAAAGGTTACAACAATTAATGTATCTTAGAAAATTTTATTGAGACAGCAGTATAGGTAAGACAACAATGTAAATACACAACAATAAAAGTGATACAACAATGAAATTTAGATACCAATTTAATTGAGACAAAAATGTGAGATAATAATGTACTTGAGACAATAATCTTAAGAAGACAACAATGCGGGACAACAATGTACACGAGTAACCAGTCTAAATGAGACAACAATGCCTGTTAGACAACAAGCTATGTTAAATTGATTAAAAAAAAACAACATTAAGTTGTTGAGAAAACAAAGAAAGTAAGACAAAAATCAATGCGAGACAACACTTTACCTGAAACAGAAATATGAAGCAACGATGATGATTATGCGAGACGAAAAAGTTAGCGAGGTAAAAAAAAAAATAGCTGAGAAAAAACTCACTTTTCTGTTTTCTAACAACTTCTGTTAGCTCTGTCCTCTTTTTGAATCACTCAGCTACCGGGCACCCCTCCCCCTCCCCCTCCCCATATACGCCAGTGAGAAAGCAAACGACTTAGATGGCAAACAAGATTCCTTGAACGCGTGTCCGACGTAAAACAGAATAACTAAAATATCAGTTACTATTACATGTACTTACATGGTATACAAAGGCGCCTGAAAGAGGGAAATTGCAGACTACCCAGTGGTCCAATGTGTAAAATATATGAAATTTAAACTCATTATTCCTCAATGTTACGTAATGACGTCCCAAAGAATGGACTTTGTTATTTAAGTAGTATACTATACTAACATATTCTTTTAAGTGTTAACCAATTATTTCGATAACATTGGTGTACTCCAACTAATGGAGAAAGATATTGAGGAGGGAAGAAATACCGAATACCACCTGGAACATTTAGTTATCAGTAATATTTGACAAAAAAAGAATATGAAGGAATAAAATAAATTGATTTTTAGACAACAAAGTGCACTGACGTTCTTAAAGTAGTATAGGTGATCATAGATAGTTGTTGAGTTAAGTTGCTTCCCGAGTTTCCCATAAATAATAAAGATAATCAAATTCACTGCCTCTGATTTTTGTCAAAAAGGTAGACATTCAATATATCTTGTTTTTAATGGAAAATACTTTATAGACTGTTTCATTGGTTTTTTACTATATATATTATCTATAATTGAAACTGTGTTGCGAGTACGATGCTTATAACTGCTAACTAGGAGAAAAGTGTCAAAATAATAATATGGAAATGGGAAATCTGATATAAATGTAGGTAAGAGATCGACATAGCAGCCATAGCGGACTACCTTCCTACGATTCATATCGTTTCAGTTATATAAAAAATGTAGAAGATGAGAGAAAAGAATATATTGGTTATAAAAAGAAAAAAAATATTCGTAGAAGAAAAAAAATACACAAACCGTAAAGGTAAAACGGGATTGCAAAAATCTTATCGCGCAAAATTCGCGCAAAATTCGGGATGTGCGATACTAGTCCAAATTATTCGTAGGAAAGTGCACAGCAAAAAATTGAAAAGTTGATTTTGTAACACTTGATTTTGACTGTTTAACAATCAATTTCACGTTGTTGCGTCAGAAACTTTCTCTTAAAACGTGAAATTGTTACGGGAACACCTGTGATGGCTAATAATGGCGGACAAATAGCTATAAGGATTGACCCGTCTGTCTTACCCAGGAGTTGTTTTTATTTCAAAACATTTCTTAAATTGATCAAATAATCAACAATTGAGAATAATCAACAATATGCATGTTGATTGAATAAAAGTTATTCTTTTACCTGCTTTCGGCAATAGCCATCTTTCACGCAAATTTGTCCTGGTAAATTCTGTGAGCGGAGTTGTTGACAAATGTGCTTTGGCTTTAAATAATCTGATATCCTGGTGACTTGAAGTATCGCTTATCTCAGCTGTTGCGTTAGCGAGCTACATAAAATATTAGATAGATATTTAAAGAATTTTGCAATATTTTTTTTTATAGCATTAAAACAATTCTACCTTTAAATACTTGTAATTCTTTTTTATTCTAAAATTTGAATAAAGGACAAAAAATATGACCGACAAAAGCATGTATCTCCAATAAATGACGCTTAGGTAGCTATGTATTAATTTTCAATAGAAAATTTTGTTGCTTTAAAAAAAAAAGGTTCAAACACACTCACAAAAAAATTATCAATAAGAAGTTTTTCTTCAAAATGTCTGTTCCGTCTTTAATAATATATTTTTAATTTCCGCATGTATGTTTATTAGCCTTATAATGCGATTTCATTGTTTTTAATTAATAGAACTCATCACTTTCAATCACCACTGATACCCACACATGATCGACATTATGTTATTGTTAAGGCTTGTCATAATTCTTTAAAAAAAATATATCTTAACTTAAAACAACAAGGAGTACTGAAAAAAAAATCCCCCTTTTGCAAAGCTTCAAAGAGCCATGACAGGTATAATTATGAAATGATAATGTTTAATGTTTAGCTTCGATTGTATGCAATGGCTTTGTCACTATCTAAAACTATAAAATTCATTGAAATTTAATGTTCTTACAGAAATTTTGCCCAGAAAAAGCTAAGTTAACAAAAATTAACAGAAAATACCAAGGCTCTTACAAGGCCCTTTAAAATTAAGATTAAAGTATTAAAATATATTTTTTAAATTTGTTTCTGATAAAAGTTGATTGAGTTAATATAAGGAATAAACAAAAGTAGTATACTCAAATCAGGTCCAGGAACATTAAACTTTACAATTATACATCATGTGAGAGAGAGAAAAACCAACTCATTTGCAGGAACACCAAACTACGTGTTTCTGTCAACACTCATAGAGTTGAGCTCTAGATATCTATTTGGTATATGTGTTTGGTTGTTGACCCATGGTCTGAACCTTTTGTCAAACGCAAAAATTTATCAAAATCCAGCTCATTCAAAGTGTTCGCTTTGATTCGTGTTGCGCAATTAAAAGTCTTCCTTGAAATTTTTGTGAAATTTTGTTTGGGATTTTAATTTCGTTTCAAAGAGACTGGCTGACATACGCCAGTGACCTATAGTTGTTTACATATATGCATGTTTATCGGTAAAAAGCACAAAACCAAATAAAAAACAAAAGGCAACGTTCCGATATAAGAATATTTGCCTTTGTTGATGGAGTGTTTGTTTTAGTTCAAGACAGAGTTTCTTATGATAATACGACTTAAGTACAATCATTAGATATACGTCTTCGATAAATTCGCTAAGTAATAAGTTAAGATCAGAGCGTATTCAATCAAATAAACTTGGGTCAAATTCACTGATTTCGAGTCGCCTTTCTTGTAGCTGGAGCAAAATGCTGCTGTTTTAAAATTAGGCATTCAATGCTTAATATATATATATATATCTTGTTTGGTGATTAACACTACACAAGAGTAAACGTTCGAGTCTCTATTTAATTGAGTAATGGGTCGAGATTAGAGTGTAATATAACGGTACCAAATTGTCTGCACCAGATTCGCATTTCAACAATTAAATGTCTCTTTAGTGATGCTCGAGGCCGAAATATTTGAAAATCCAAAGTTCATTAAAAAGATGATAAGCTATGATACAAAAAGGACAAACAAGTAAATAATCAAAACAAATTAGGACAAGTTTGCTGCGTTTTATGTGCTTTTCTTGAATGAGGAACACACTGCTGCGTCTTCGTATCTAACCTTTAAATATGCAGATGCAGACCGTGTTTTCAATAATTTATCACAAAGCAGTTCAAATGCATATTACTTTGTCCTGAGTACAACCAGACATTCCCGAACCATACCTCTTTCAGAGTTTTTATTTCCAAGTGAGGATGAAGCAGTCAGATGGTTACCATAGTCTCCCCCAGGGTTATGTACAAAACCTTGCCAAATTCTACTTCGTAGCTAACCTTTAAATATGCAGATGCAGACCGTGTTTTCAATTATTTATCACAAAGCAGTTCAAATGCTTTTTTTTAAATGTGAATATCATAAAATCGCCTAGGTTTTACCTCGCCGACAAGAAAATGCATATTACTTTGTCCTGAGCACAACCAAACATCCCCGAACCATACATCTTTCAGAGTTATATTTCCAAGTGAGGATGAAGCAGTCAGATGGTAACCATGGTTTTCCCCAGGGTTATGTACAACACCTTGCCAAATTCCATGAGAGTTTACTGTTATACTACCACTGTGTTGGTCGTCTAGATACAAATCAATCTTATCGCCATGTTTTGGAGAATGTCCCCATACAGATGCACCACGGGAGCCTCTTTGAAGTACCATATGGTTTGCGTAAAATGTCGAAAACGAAAAAGTGATTGCCTTTTCTGAAATTCAGGTTATAATCACCTTCAGCAGAATGAACAATATAATTAAAAAGTTCTGTCTAACTATTTGATAACACATCTCGAAGCGAATTTCAAATACTAGTAAAAGGGACACGAACCTGTATTTACCTATCATACGAGAAATTGTGTAAGAGACCAAAATTAATTGTACTACAATTTATTCCAGGTGGAAACATTATTCAAAATTATGATATGCTATTAATCTACTATCTATACTTGAATACATTTATTGATTGAAAGTTTGTATTGTTTCTTACAATCAGAATGTCGGGAATGTATGACGCTACTTGTTGGATTTCTGTTTTATCAGATATAATAGTTTGTTGATAAGCCCAGCAGCTGTTTTCTTTAATGAACAGTTATGATGATATCCACATCTAGCAAAGGGTTCCACTCAAACTGGTGCTAGCAGCAGTCTTGAATTTAGTAGTGTAGTGTGAGTTTTTTTGCTCTATGTTGATGGCATCCCTGTAACTTTGAGATGAAGAACAGCAATACATGACTGTTCCTTTGTAGCAGGCGTTTTAATGTACGCGAAATAGTCTTGTGTCATGAATTGATGCAACATAAACATTCTGTTCCATTATTGAACATTGAATCGATGATAATTAAAATGAATAACATAGAATAAGAAGGACTCAAATGACGAACGCATGTTGAATGCCAAAGGAAATGCATTAGCTTTTAATCTTAGATAGGCATCATTTGCTAAATCATTAATTAGCCGATGGGTACATTAGGAAAAAATGCAAATATCGTATGCAAGACATATACAATAGCGTGTTTTTTTTTAATTTAAATGTTTACTGGTTTGTACGCTACAATAAATTTATGACATGCTAGCTCATAAGTTACATGTACAGTCTATAGTCCACAGACACACTACCGAACACATTATTCTCCGAACCTACCAGCTTATTACTCCTAAAAGACGCGTGTCTATCGTATCATATGAGATGGATATACTTCTTTATATTGATCCTTCCAGCCATCGTACCCTTGACCGCATGCAATCCAAGTAAGCACGCTACTGCTACATTTTAACTAACAAAAATTTAAAAAATCAACAGCGTCAATAATTGCGTGTTTTTTTGCTAGTTTATATAAAAACGTACTTACTTTCAGCTCCATTGGTAAAGCTTATGACTGAAATAATAGCAAAAAAGATGGACCACTTCATTGTTTCTTTCTATCTAAATACGGCTTGATTGTCTGTTATTTGACCAATTTTGTAACCTTTCAATATTATCAAGATAAGAAACCGTAATCATGAAGTTACAGTACATGTGTACTTCGCTGTTTGTTTTTTTTTAGCAATAAGCCATAAATTTACTGTGCTATCGCTTCCAGTTTATTGGTTCTATGGTGTTTTAATGCTTCAGAAATATCCCCTTTGAAGCTGACAGAAGACCTGTACTGACTCATTCTTAATTTTATGTGAGGCTTTGCATGTTTCATTTTAATATTCTTTCACATACTAAGACATAAACCGAAACATGATATCTATCTATGGAACTCGTTTTCCGTGACACTTAAAACAATAATAGACATTTAGCTGAAATAATGATTCAGTAAATAAGAAAAATAACCAACATTTATATAACTTTCGTAAATACTAACATTTTGAGTATAAATTCAAATGTTAACTTTTAACGCTTAATGGATCACAGTTGATTTCCTGGTAAAAATTTCTGTACAAAGAAATTTCGTTGGTGATGTCAAATGACCTTACATTTTGCTTATTAACTAGTATGATGGTTCGATTGGCCAGTTTTTATATCAGCTCTATTGGTAAGTATCAAAATTTAATATAAAATATCAAGTCTCAATAAATGAGAGGCGAAAGATACCAAAGGGACATTCAAACTCCTAAGTCGAAAATAAACTGACAACGCCAATAACAATTTGTTGCGTTTAAATGTTATTGCAATTGCATCTCGGTACAGTTTTATTTTATTTTTATGCTACTATAGTTTCAAGATTTTTGGTATATTGTCATGTTGACTTTTTGTTATTTTCTTGTGTCTCATTGGTCATAGGTATTTTTTTTTAATTGTTGTAGTTATTTTTGTTGCTATTTTTGTTATTTTTGCTTTGGTCCTTTTTAGGGGATGCACTATATGACACCGTCTCATGTTTATGGAACGTTGGAAACATTTTGACATCTTTTTATAACAGTAACCCCTTATTATTGCAATAATAACATCTTATTTGGTGTAACGGGATAGGAACCGTTGTTAGACCGAATTTGAGGAAAACTTTTTTCTTTTAAACATTCATAATTGACATGTCCCTTATAACATGTACCTATGATCCCTATATAGTTGACTCGAGTGTCGTCTATTTCCGAATAAAATCTTTCGAAGGCTATATAAAAACAAGGTGATGTTATATGGTTCTCAATGAGACAACTATTAACCAGAGTTCAAATGACGTAGATGTGAGCAATTATAGAATAGAGAATGAAAACGAGGAATGTCTAAGAAACAACAACTCGACCAAAGAGCAAAGGACACCAATGGGTCTTCAACGCAGCACCCGGAGGCGGGCTTCAGCTGGTCCCTAAACAATATTGGTAACTAGTTCAGCGTAATAGACGCAGCACTATAGTATGTTGGTAAGTGACCTTTCTGTATGATAAGCTACTGTCCATGACGTTAAAACACTAAATCCCTCAGATTGTTTTACTTGATTTTAGTCTCTGACGCATGATTTTTTATTATTAATTGTTTTTGGCTTTTAACTTGCTTTCAGTAAATGCGAGTACTCTCAAATCGTACTTTCGTGTTATTTGATCTGTTGATACAATTTGTAATTCATTTTTGTTATTTAATGTTTACTTAATAGTGTTATATCTCGTCTCACTATTCTTAATATATACCACCTTTGATAAGTGTTTGGTATGACGATAAATTTTCACTTCTGTTCTCTGTTTACATGTGTACGTTATTTTATTTGGCGGCATTTTGTCCAAGGTTATGGTTGTCTTTCTGATATTGTTTTACATCTAATCCCTTTGTTTTATTAATTTTGTATTTACATTGTGTCATAGATCAAATTTATTCGTTCAGTGTATGTTCACTTGTTTTTGTTAAAATGTCCTTTTATCAAATTGAGTTAAGCCATTTCAATTGATATTTTATAGTGTGTCTTTCTATGCAGTGATGTTACACTATTGTTTCAAGTTAGGGTGAAGGTTGGCGCCTATTTAAACGTTTAAACCCGCTGCATTTGTTTGCACCTGTCCTAAATCAGGAACGTGATGTTTTGTGGTTGTCGTTTGTTGATGTGGTTCACAAGTGTTTCTCGTTTCTTGTTTTTTATATAAATTAGACCGTTGGTTTTCCTGTTTGAATGGTTTTACACTAGTAATTTTTGGGGTCCTGTATAGCTTGCTGTTCGGTGTGAGCCAAGGCTCCGTGTTGAAGGCCGTACTTTGACCTATAATGGTTTACTTTTACAATTTGTGATTTAGATGGAGAGTTGTCTCATTGGCACTCATACCACATCTACTTATATCTATAGACCATATATCTTCCAAATACACCAAACCAATGGAATGAAAGCGATAAATCAGGTAGAAATGAAGATTCAGTTTTCAAATTATGAAAAACCAGTATAATCCTTTACCAAAGAAATTCAGACAATTTGAATAACGACATTCTATTTCAGCTCAAATTTTCGACCCTTTCGGTTTCATCATTAAAAAAAACGCAAGGTCATTATGGCAGTTGGAAAAAAATAACTTTCTATGTGAACGACCATTATTTGTACAAACAGAATCTTTAATTATCAAATTAAAACTGTTGTTGCATTTGTTTTAGTTATGAATATGTATGCAATCCCGAATTTATAAGGAGGAAACAGTTATCTAAACTATGATAACTGATTTCGTATATTATTTGATATACATAATGTTAAATATATTCAAGATATTAAAAAAAAAAAACTTGAGTCGTTCAAAAGATAAATTTTACAGAAATATATGACATTCGCACAAAATGTATAATACAAATATAAAATATTCAATATCTTAAAATAAAAACAGTGGATCAAAGACTCAAAAAAATGAAAACAACACATGTTAAATTTCATGCGTCCGAAGCGCTTTTCTGGATTTACCTTCATCAGGAACGCTCAATGCCAAATATTTGAAAGCCAAATATTTGAAGAACCGAAACAAATGGTCGGTTTGCGCAGAATGTCTCTAAAAAAAATTGAGAATGCTCCATACTGAACATTTAAGTATTTGAAATATAAAATGTAAAAATTCCTAAAAAACAATCCATAATAGCAGGTGCACAACTTCCACATATGTGCAGCTTTCCTGTGAAATTTCATGGGTCTGGATTGAAAGCAGTAAGAGGAGTTGATTACAAAAAACTTGTACCCTCTTTCATAATTTTTGCAGAAAAAAGACTAAGTTCCCAAGTCTGGAAAAATGAGAAAAAATTCCTCAAACAGTTCCATAATAAAAGATGCACAATTTCAACATATGTTCAATCATCCAGTGAAATTTCAGAGATCTAGGATGAAAGCTGAAGGAGAAAATGATTACACAAATTATGTACCTACTTTTCCCCGGGCCGACATCACTATACTATATATGCTATAAGCAGGTTTGGGACTCCGTCCAACAAAGTATTTTGTTTTTACATTGTATTTCATTGCTTCATTGCTTATCAATCAGAGGCGATTTATTCAAACAAAATCAGTACAACAGTAACTTAGTACCTTTGCTAAATTTAGTATCTATAAATAAATCATATTAACTGCATACGAATGAGTTTACAATCTGTAAAGTTGTGAAAAATCAAAACAATTTACACCTGTTAAATATTAAATCCATATCGAACGAAAGAAAATGTCCGTATTATATTCAAAATTTTGAAAATTAAGTCACTTACATGTACATATATGTCTGTATTTTTTATACACCTAACTTCAAATAAATATCCCTCATGCATAGCTCTCATTCGTAATATGGGTTTGGATTTTTAGTTGTTGTTTTTTTTTTTTTTTTATCAAATCTTCAACGCTTGTATAAGGTTTTGGATTTCAAATATTTTGGTCACGTGTATCTCTAACGAAATAAAGTTGTTTGTCAGTTGAAAAAGGCTTGACTCATCAGATCGGAACAAAACACACACACAAAAAAAAAAAAAAAAAAAAAAAAAAAAAAAAAAAAAAAAAAAAAAAAAAAAAAAAAAACTAGAAAAAGGACTTAAGACAAAAAGTACAGATTTGAGAGTAATCACAGTTACTGAAAGCCAATCCAAAGCTAAGAACAACTAATAAAAAATCATGGATCTAAGGCTAAATTATCAATCAGTACACATCCAATGGATTTTTTTAAAGACATCATGAACAGAGAAAAACACGATCTTGTGCAATGCCAAAATATAGGTATCCACAGAATGTAGGACTGTAAAAGTACATAACTGTATAGCAATACTATTAAGTAATGTTTTAATATATCGATAACAAAATCAATGTACATTTACATTTCATGTTGTTTATATTTTGTTAAACATGGAAATACATGTTGTTGAAAAAAAACAAGTAAAATATGTAAAGAATACCGTTATCGGATCGACATCGAAAGGCCAAGAAAGCAAGCTAGATTTTCGGTAAACAGTTTTAAGATCAAAATTAAAGCTGTTGTTACAACGCTGCAATGTTACAGCAGATATTTACAGTTTGAAACGGGTGTAAATCAATTATCATTAGATGCATGATTTATTGTATAGTATATTCATATCTATCGAACTGCATTTTTATTGAAATATGACATTTAAATTTGGACTGTTTGACATTAAAATCACGGTATCAATCTTATATTTTATGTGAAAATAATAAAAAATAAACAAAGCTCTGTTGCTAACATGGAAATTGGTAATTCTAGTTATCATTAAAATTGGTTAAAAATTTTTGTGCTAAAAAGGGGTTATATTTGGCGCTCAAACGTCCGATATTGTTCGCTCAAATGTCACATAGGTCGATTCGTTAAAATGTCCTCTGTCTGTATAGTTCACAGTATAATTTTTACAGACGCATGCCGTTTGCGGAAAAAAGGTATTCAATATTCTTTAAAATATGACAAAGTGATTTTTGTACATTTATTTTTGTAATTGCTTCATTGTTTATCGATTGGAGACGATTATTTTACATGAATACACCAGTTGCTTAGTACTTTTACTTGTATCTATAAATAGTTAAGTTTTAAATGTCCTTCAAATAAGTTGACAATCTGTAACGGTATTAAAATTGCATAGTAATTTACACCTTGTCAATATTAAAAACATTTAACATAAGAAAACGTCCGTATTTATGTCCGAGTTTAAGAATTAAGTATACTGTCAAAAAGTGTGACGCACGAAACTTACGAAATAATATTACGACAGATTGCCATTTAAAGTATATAAATACAGTCGATAAAGTATATATTCAGTTTTTATAACTTTATATCTGTTGGTAAGTCATTTTCTATGCTAGGATTCGAAATAATTTGATGCACTTTTAAGATAAACACTGTACGCTGCAGTTTCTTGTTTTATTGTTCTTCATTTTTGCCTTTTTAAGAAGTTTTACGATTTTGTCAATAGTCATATTTGTAATTGTTTAGAAGGCGGGTATAATGTTCTATTTTCTTATTTTACAGCTTAAATAATTTCTAAATGTTTCAAAAATGAAAATTAAAAAAGTTATGAATGTGTTGAAATGATTGCTTTATTGAAATCAGGCTAATTGTTTTTTATTTCTAAAGGCCTATTTTCAAGAATTGCAGATCTGAAGTTTTGAGTTCGAGACACACAATCTTTTTTATACGCCCGTTTATTACGGGACGTATTATGGTATACCGTTGTCCGTCCGTCCGTCGTCAACATGTTGGACAATAACTCAAAAACGCTTTAACCAATTTGCACGAAACTTTGGTGAATTGTTTATATCTACTGATGTGAGCTGCCTTTCGATTTTTATAAATTTTAAATTTTACGTGTCCGAGTTATGGGGTTTAATTCATTAAAAAGGGGGATTTTCCAGTTTTCGGACAATAACTCAAAAACGCTTTAACCAATCCACGAACCTTTGGTGAATTGTTTACATCTATTAACGTGAGCTCCCTTTTGATTTTTATAAATTTTAGATTTTACGTTTCCGAGTTATGGGATTTTATTCATAAAAAAGGGGTTATTTTACAGTTTCCGGACAATAACTCAAAAGTGCTTTGAGCAGTTTTCATGAAACTTTGGTGACTGGTTTATATCTATTTAAATAACCTCCCAACATGTTTGTGTTATAAATTTCTGATATGACATTGAGGAGTTATGGAACTTTATTCTTTGAAAAGGCGACGGGCGTATTATGCGCTCATGGCGCAGCTCTTTATTTTTTAAAGTAGAAAACTAGATAAAGTTGAAAAGTCATTGCGAATTGATATTTTACCCTTATTAATCTACTACTTATAAGCAAAATAATATTCTCTTATGAATAAAAGGAGACGGGGTTAAACGTAAATGATCGAGACATCAACCCAACGACTGAATGTCCAAAGACATCTTTAGGTCTAAATGTTTTATTTCTTCTTAATAAGTTTTAATACGAACTTGGTATTCTATTATGTAAAGATGTTGTAATGAAAAGCTTTATGTATGGATACAAGGAGATATGGGGCATACATTAATAAGACAACAATAAAAGAACAACAACAAAAATATAAAATCTACAAAACAAAAAAAAGTTATAGGTCAACTCGTTTGTTTAATTCTTTTCTATTAATCGGGTCATTTATACTTTCAGGACTACTAAGGAATATACTTTATTCAGGAAAAAAACAAGGTTGAAACAATAGAAAATGGATATGCTAGTAAATGACAAATCAATTTTGTTGAATGCAGTTTCAAAACATTTGTATACAGAAAATCAGTTACAAACTGTGAAGAGGAAAAATAAAAGAACAAAATACGAACCATACAGTACAAGACGCCCAACATTAAAACTTTTCAATCAACAATTGAACAATACGCTACAGTCAATATATACACAGGTAGAAACATCTGCACGGCAGTTTATAAAATACGTTCCACTAAGGATCGCACTGCAAGAAAAAGATACAAGAACGTCTACAATATATGTATCACACACAACTGCTATACAAGGAGACAATCAAAATTCACCGAAGTCGATAGGAAAACAAGTTTTTCGAAGATCTCCTGGGTCGCAAGATGAACTACAAATGGGATCGCGAAGTGTTTGTGTTGCCCAAGAAATTGTACCACTCAACGCTGAAACAGGGGAAACTGCATTAGAATATAGCAGAATACATCTTTTAAGATGTTTACATGAGATTAAAAAACTCGAGATATCTTTATTGAGTAAAGAATCAAAAATTTACAAATTAAAAAACTTTTCTCAAACAAATTCAAAAGAACAACAGAATTGCATCAAAATGACTGAATTCGAAAAGAAAATGTCCAATTTAGAGATTGTTTTGCGGTCTGCTCAGAAAAATTATCAGACAAGGCGACCACTTGATGAAAAAAAGAAGAAAATAGTTCATTTTAAAAACTGTCTATGTACCTGTGACTTCTCATCTGAAGAAAAACAAGTTTACAAAGAAATTTCTTTCTGTGATCATCAATCGGAAATTCATGTCGAAGGAATGTGTCATAATCATATCATATGCGGCGACATTTGCCATAACATGTCTGGACATGACCATTGGATCATGGGAAATCAACTAATATCTCTTGATGGCATAAGAGTTTCTTCGCAAATATACTTGAATGGATTCTCCTCAGATTTAACAATACAAGCCAATGGTGTTTCAAGTAAAACTAAAATATACCTCAAGGGTATATTTCTATGGCCAAACATTAAACTAGAAGGCAGCGGTGTACAGGTGAAAATATTTATTGATGGAATATTTTATAAACCCAATATCATTCTAACTGGAATTGGCTGTAGAGTAGACATTGAAGTTAAAGGGATATTTGAAAAACCTTCTATAGACAATAAGGGACTTCATTGTTCTTCCAAAATTAAAGTTACAGGAATATTAAAAATGTGAAAAAAGCGATTTTATTGTCTGTTTAAATACTACTACCGTTTACTTCTAAACTTGCTAATGTCTGTCCTTGTAATGTTAATATAAGTTGATGCTATTCTTCCAAAAAAGTAGAAAACGAAGAGATCGTATGAATGAAATGATATGTGGGGTGTACACCAATGAGGCAGTAATCCAAAGACAAAAATAACCTAACGTTATCAAGAGGGCATCATACAATCTTCAACAATACAATACAAAAAAAGGTTAAATCATCCAAAGTCTATAAAAGTGAATAAATTTAACAGAAACATATAATATAATATAATCCGTTAACACTCAATTAAAAAAAAACGAAAATAACTTTAAATATAAATTCTAGAAGTGACTGCAAAGCTTCAAAGAGCGACCATAACCAAATGCATGTACCCACCGTTGTTACATTCTCGGGTATATGTTTTCCTATTGTTCTGTTTATTTACATGTTTGTCTCCATTGCATTACAATAAAATTCAATGTATGTCTAGTCAATCTCGCTAGCTAATGTTAATTGAGTTTAAATATAGAAAATTATTTCTTCCTTTTTAATAATGATTTGTCCTTAGAAAATTAAAAATCTTGATTTATAGATTCAATGCATATATATTCGAAATCGATTAAAAACTAAGAGTATACTGTTAGATAAATATTTACCACTGCATTGAGTTTGATGCGATATTTCTCTACAGAACTCTATAGAGCCTGTGTCATTCACCTAGGTCTATGTGCATCTTCAACAATGAACACTCTCCAACATCTTGAACTAGAATACATTTATGGCAAAATCTCTGTTTTGTTGATCTTGTATTGCTTATCATTTTTTCTATTCTAGTTTCTCTCTATCCTCTTAAGTTTTTGCCCAAAACACAAAAAATCTAAAACTCGTTATTTAAGGGCAATCACTCCAGCCAGACATATAAAGGGTCTACTAACGATTTCTACAAAAATTTCCAAAAAGTGTCTTCCCGATTGTCCCACTTTTTGAAATTACAGGTAAAATTGTAATGAAATTTTGTGGGACAATCGGGAAGATGTTTGTGGGACAATTGGGAAGTTTAAATGTGGGACAATTGGGAACTGTTTTGATAGTGATTAATTTGTTTTTAAAGTGTGTAGCAGGTAATTACAAGTTATTATGTAACTCATACAATTTAAGATAAACATTGAGAAAAGATAGCATTTACTTATTTTATTTTGTTTTGTGATATTTTGTTAAACTACTGTCCAAAATAAAGAACAATTATATAACAACATAGATATATTTTAACTTAATAAAATATTAAATAGACTCTTTTAACATAAATTGTAAATTGAACATATAGTACATTATTGAAAAATTTAGAAGTATCAAGGATAAAATAAAATTAAATTAAAAGATGTGTTTAAGAGAAATACAAAGAGATAAGAATAATTTGTATGTTACAAAGTTTCAGGGATTTGTTCTAAAATTGACAGGTTTTAAGCATAAATTGTAAATTGAACATATAGTACATAATTGAAAAATTTAGAAGTATCAAGGATAAAATAAAATTTAATTAAAAGATGTGTTTAAGAGAAATACAAAGAGATATGAATAATTTTACATGTTACAAAGTTTCAGGGATTTGTTCTAAAATTGACAGGTTTTAAGCTGATATCAGATATATTCATAAAACAAAGAAAATTTAATGTAACATATTCTATATAATAAGTCTGATAATGAAATTGTTCAAGTAAGCATTCAATTCAAGCAAAAAAAACGGGGAAAGTTTTATTTGAATATTAATAAGAAAATCCTTGAATTAGAAAATCATAAACTTAAAACGAAATAATGTGCAGATATGTTGATTGTATATATAAAAATTGCTTATGTAATATTGAGATTGTAAACGTTTTGTTTTTATAAATCAGTCGCTAGACCTTTCAGTCTGAGCGCTCTTAAAAATGAAAAGAAAGCCAAAATTGCGCCCATGATTTTAAAATTTAAATAACAACTTTAAAATAAAAAAAAAAAAAATTGATATTTGATTTATAAATTAACCTAACATAATAGATATCGTTTATTACATATATGTTATATTGCTTAATAAAAAGTGCATTTTAACTGATGATTTATTAATTCAACAATTCATAGTTACATTTATAAAATTGATATCAACTACTAGTTTGATCATGCAATGATTAATTTCAGTTTGATATTGCAAAACAAACAACAATTACATTGTTTATTCAAGAACATTAAAAATATAAAAATAATGTGGGACAATCAGAACTTTTCATGTGGGACAATCAGAACTCTAAAATTTTAAAGAGTGGGACAATCGGGAATAAACTTTGTAGATCATGTCTTGCTAATCTTTTTTGGTATTTAAAGTGTCTATCTATCTATTATAGTTTTCAAAATAATAGGCAAAAATACTAAAAACTTGCAAACATTGCATTAAAGAGCAATAACTCCATTAAGGAGTCGACTGACGATTTCGGCTATTTGACGTATTTGTATATATTGTCTTGCTCATCAGTTTTGTTTTTTAAATTGCGATTAGCAAAAATGAAAAAAAAAATGGTAGAATTCATCATTTAAGGCCAATAACTCCTGTAAAAAAGTCTTCTGACAGTTTTGGTGTAAATGGATAGAAGCAGATCTCAACATCCTGAGCATTTCTTCCCGTGACAGATTTTCTCTATTTAAGCAATTTTCAAGATAATAGACAAAACTTGCATTTTACCCCTATGTTATATTTATAGCCATGTCGGCCATGTTGGTTGGCAGGCGTAGTTATAGGACTCATTTTTGAAACTAGATACCACAATGATGATTTTGGCCAACTTTGGTAAAATTTGGCCCAGTAGTTTCAGAGGAGAAAATGGTTGCTAAAGTTAACAGACGACGACGGACGACAGACACTAAGTGACGAGGAAAACTCACTTGACCCTTTGGGCCAGGTGATCTAAAAAGGCTGTTTTGTATGAACATAGTAAAATTTGTGAACATGTGCTTTTTATTGTTCTTTATCTTAATATATACACATGTACACATGTGCTTATTTACATGATTATTGGTAAGAGGACAAGGAGACCATTGCCTCCACTTTTTTTAACAAAATGTAGAAATCATAAGATGAAAATGAATGAGAACAATTCCCAACTCCTATAGACTAATATACTATATATTATGATGCATTGCGCGAGTGTAGTTTATGTTTGTAAAAATGGTCCTCCAAATACCTCTTTTATCTTTGCATTCCGTTCGATATATTTTGTTAATTAAAACAGCCTGAATGTTTAGATATTTGACTATTTTTACCGACCTATCTTATTTGATTGGACATTATTCGTCCCCGAATGACACCGATCACAGTCCCCATGTGCGGCGTTGCACATGGTGACATTAAATTAAGTTGTTTTGAAGCCCAGCAAGCAAATTTCGAAGATGATAGATAACTTATCAGCAATGCTCTAACACAACAATTTACAGTTACGTATAACATTTTAAGAGGATGGATTGGGGGAATGCGGAGGGGGTCATATTCGCCCCTGTAGGCTATTAATGAAAATAATCACAAATCGAGTTAGAGTTTTTTTTTATTCTTGTTAACAGATAACGTTTTTTTAAGTACTTGTTTAATTCAATAGTTTTCTTTTTGCAAAAAAAAAAAACCCCACCTAATAACGAAATCATATATAATAGCAGGCTGGCGTCATCTGAATTTAATCCTTGGATCCTTCGATGATTTGAACACCTGATAGGTTATAAAACAGGATTTTCCGCTTAACTAGCGGAACATGGCGTGTTACTGTTTGCAAGTAAATAAAAGTTAAATATGTCGCATTATTTGATTTTATAATTATGATAAGAGGACAGGATATTGTCAATAATAAGTAAAACAGATCCGTGGTGATAAGGAAAATATAGAGTTATATAAAAATAAGGAGATGTGGTATAATTGTCAATGAGACAACTCTCTAACAAAGACCAAATGACATAGAAGTTAACAACTATAGGTCACCGCACGGCTTTCAACAATGAGCATAACCCATGCCGCTTAGTCAGCTACAAAAGGTCCCGAAATAACAAATGAAAAACAATTCAAACGAGAGACCTAACGGCCTGATTTATGCATAAAACAATGAACGAAATACAAATATGATATACAGCAACAAACGACAACCACTCAATTACAGGCTCCTGACTTGGGACAGGCACATACATAATGTGGCGGGGTTAAACATGTTAGCGGGCCTCCAACCCTCCCCTTATCTGGGACAGTGGTGTAACAGTACAACATATGAACTAACTTTAACAGTCAGTTAATAAGGGCTTACGTTATTTTCCCCTATAATATAGTTTCGGGATATAATACCTCAGATATCTTAGTTGTTTATTGTTTAGAATTTTTAAATGTTCTTCGGATATCTGTCTTACAATTGACATCGAAGATTAGCTTTGAAAATGAAGTTTGACGTTTTCGGTTTCGATCCATTTTATACTATTTTGTAAAACAGCATACTAGTATTTAATATGCTCTACTGCTTCGGATTTTCAGTTGACCTGGAAGCCTGTATTTATCAATGAAATATCAAATCATCAGAGTTTAAGGTTGTTACTAATCTTTATATTGTGTTGGAATAAATGAATATCGGTCAAGGCAAATTTGAATCTCTGCACCAAGTGAGAACAAGTTCTCGTTTGGCGGGAAAATCGGAATAGTTATATTTTAGAATTTTTTGTTATGTGAACCAGTGACGGACAATTTTCGAATTGTCGTGCTTTCTCAGCACTAATTGGTTTTTATCAATATCATTGAGTACGGACATACATTTGGGACAATAATTTATATATAAAATGAGAAGAGTAATGTTTAAAAACAATGATAATGTATTAATACATAACACCGAGTTAAGCTTTGTATTTCAAATCCCTCTTCCAAACTGGCATGCATTTACCAGAGACATTCCGAATTTTATACACACGGTAACTTTCTCAAATCAAGCAACTTTTTTAAGAATGCATA